TCCATGGAGTTAGTTAGCCAACAGCTCGAACTATAAAGACTCTATTAGAACATATCGAATTGGGAAGGGTGTGGAAAGGAACGGGCCTGGAGTAATTTTAGACACTTAGGCGGCATTTCGCTGGAGGGTCTGAGGTAAATCACGAAAATACCGCAGGATATGTGTTCCGACCGAGATTCAAACCGGTTATCGCTCGAATAGAAGTCTGAATCGTTTTTCTACACCAGCTTGGTTGTGGGTTAGAGAAAGTTGCTTCTAGAACGAGCTAACGCGGCGACCATTTTGGCGAGAGAAGGAAACGAGGAAGAATAGCGAGAAAGGTGGGGAATGAAACATGAGAGAGAAGGAGAAAGGTAAGTAAATAAAGTTGTCCCTGTACTTAACTAATCAAGCACTACTCCATGAAAGGGTATGGGTGAGTCGATGCATAGATCCACGTTTTCTTGACTTCGGCACTAGCTGGAAATGAGTGGTCAGCTTGACGCCCCTGCCGCTTTACCCTTGGGAAAAGAACCCCCGGCACCCTTTGGATAGGAGATTAGGTGGGCCCCAGAGCCGGTTTGGAGGCCTTGGAGAAGAGAAAATTCTTGCCCCTATCGGGACTAGATGTCTACCTATCAATCGTCCAGCCCGTAGCCAGTCGCTGTACCGACTGCGCTATCCCGGCTTCTCACGTCCAGCCCGTAGCCAGTCGCTGTACCGACTGCGCTATCCCGGCTTCTCACGTCCAGCCCGTAGCCAGTCGCTGTACCGACTGCGCTATCCCGGCTTCTCACGTCCAGCCCGTAGCCAGTCGCTGTACCGACTGCGCTATCCCGGCTTCTCACGTCCAGCCCGTAGCCAGTCGCTGTACCGACTGCGCTATCCCGGCTTCTCACGTCCAGCCCGTAGCCAGTCGCTGTACCGACTGCGCTATCCCGGCTTCTCACGTCCAGCCCGTAGCCAGTCGCTGTACCGACTGCGCTATCCCGGCTTCTCACGTCCAGCCCGTAGCCAGTCGCTGTACCGACTGCGCTATCCCGGCTTCTCACGTCCAGCCCGTAGCCAGTCGCTGTACCGACTGCGCTATCCCGGCTTCTCACGTCCAGCCCGTAGCCAGTCGCTGTACCGACTGCGCTATCCCGGCTTCTCACGTCCAGCCCGTAGCCAGTCGCTGTACCGACTGCGCTATCCCGGCTTCTCACGTCCAGCCCGTAGCCAGTCGCTGTACCGACTGCGCTATCCCGGCTTCTCACGTCCAGCCCGTAGCCAGTCGCTGTACCGACTGCGCTATCCCGGCTTCTCACGTCCAGCCCGTAGCCAGTCGCTGTACCGACTGCGCTATCCCGGCTCCTGAGAAGGGGAAATGTAAAGTGTAAAATGAAGAGAGACAGAAGGATAGGAAACTGATAGAAAGGACGAGAGAAAAACGAATAAAGAAAATTCTATTAGAAGCCAGTATAATCTTATCTTTATGAACCCCTCTTAGTCTGTCCGGCGTGATTGATGTTTCGGCAATGCGCAGGTCCGTTTCTCTTCAACTCTATTCTGTGACATGGCTCGAGGACTGAGTCTTCACACCCTCCATTTCGATTATTGTTTATTTCAGTGATGTCTTCAGTGGCTCGAATTTATAGCGTTAAATCATGGGATAATAAGAAGCTCTGGGAAGAAGTAATTGCCTACTTATAAATACAAACCACTCTGTCCAATGTGACACATAAGTTTTTACCACGTTAAAACTTATCTCCCTTACATGTTTCGGTCCTTACGGGCCATCTTCAGAGGGAACATCATTACAAACTGGAAACTACCATCACAATAGGTGTTTTGATTTAAAATAACTACACTTATATCCTATAATGCACAGTACGCTTTAAGCGACTTTAACACTTACAAGGTATTCACATACACTTACACAGATCCACATCGGCCCTCAAAATAGTTGCCGTTGGCCGCTATGCAAGTCTGCCAACGTTGATATAGCTGCCGAAAACATTGCTGAAACATATTGGCAGGAAATTCCCGTACGAGGCTTTGCGGCCAATCCACGAACTTATTGACACTGGTAGTACGTATGTATGGGAGACACATAGACAACAAGCCAATCTCATAACCTTCGTAACAAAATTTAGGGGGGATATAGAAACTGATGGACCGACACAGACAGCAAGGCGATATCACTAGCCTGCTCCTTTTTTTCATTTTCAAAACAAGGAAAGTAGGCTAAGAAGGAAATGAGGTGTTAACTGTACGTCACAGTGAACAGACAATACAGTCGTTACCAAGCAATTTGACACAAGCGGCAACGCTTCCTACTTGTATTCAGCTGGTTCCCGGTTCGTTTCTCGAACGAGTCACCGACTGGCTTGTCGTTCATGGTTTCCCTCAGTACCTCCAGACAGATGCTGGGATAGTACCTCAAATTAGGCGACTACCGCTTCCTTCCTTGTGCTCTTTCCAGTTAATTATTACCGAAACGTCCTGACATTCGGCCCTATGTAGCGTCAGATGCTGACAGTGTCAATAAACAGAGAAGTAATTATATATATATATATATACATATATATACTAGAATGCTGTCTTCTGTTCTGAGGCTTCAGTATCCATGGCAACCTGGGTATGACTTCCATCATGAAGCGACGCAAACATACCCAGAAATTGTGGTTAGAGACACCGGAAATATATTTTCAGCGATATTATCACACACAAAAATTATGAAGAGCACATGGCTGGTGCTTCTAAGCGACTTATATCGTTTATAAGTAGACGTTGCTTCCTTTTCAGTTGATTCCACTTTAAACTTACCGATCTGATATTAAAAGTTAACGTTGGCCCTGTGCCTAACTAATTAAGCACTACGCCATGAAGGCGTATGGGGGAATGGATGTATATATTCATATTTTCTTGATCTGGACACAAGTTGGATGTGAGTGGTCAGCTTCGCGTACCCGGGGAAAGAGTCCCCGGTGCCCAGTGGATAGGAAGCTGGCTCTATCCCAGAGGCGGTATGGTCGACGTGGAGAAAAGAAAATTCTTTCCCCCACCGCGACTCGAACTCCGACCAGCCCGTAGCCAGTCGCTATACCGACTCCGCTGTCCCGGCTCCTACCGATCTGATAGTTGTAACTAAAATTCGAAAAGCGCAGAGCACGTGAATGTATGCAGGCCGTGGTGTGCAAAGGGACGGTGGACATGTGCCACATACGCGGTGCCGTTATGCCTGGCTGATGGTTGTTGTGTATACATGGCGACCCGAAGTGGACGCCATGGGCGGGGAAACGACACACCTGAACGACGGAAACAGGTGGGATCACAGATGTTCTACAAAACCGAAAGGCGGTCGGTCGGATGGTACAACCTTGAGGAATTTCCCATTGCTTCGCGATACGGTTTAATGGCCTCATTTGGTTTGCTTCCGAGGTGAGAATAAATTGGCCGCACGCAAGTTGGCGTGGGAATTCATGTTGATCTGAAAAGATCTCCAATTTATATACTGATTTCATTAAAATTCTCTTATTTACTTACTTACTTACTCATGGAGCTGAGCCCTTCTGGAGGAGCCGCCAATTCTGCAGCTACTTAAGAATTTCCCAACATTTTATGGAACCCGAAGGTTCATTACCGTGTTCACAAGAGCGCTCCACTGGTTCCTATCCTGATCCAGATCAATCCAATCCATACCATCCTATCCTATATGTCTAAGATCCATTTTAATATTATCCACCCACCTACGTCTTGGTCTTCCCAGTAGTCTGTTTCCTTCTGGCTTTCGCACCAATATCCTATATGCATTCCTCGTCTCCCCCATTCGTGCTACATGCCCTTCCCACCTCATCCTCCTTGACTTGATCACATTAAACTTCTCTTACAAAAATTAATTAACCACGCCGTGAAGATGATGGTATGATTACATTGTTATTGACCTTGGGACTTGGTGGAGGTGAGTGGACAGTTTCACGCTACAGCTGCATTACCCCGGGTAAAGAGGCCCCGGTACCCACTACACAGGAGAATTGGCGGGCCCCAAATCCGGCCGTGACGCTGTGGAGTGGAGAAAAATCTGGCCTTGTCGTGTACTTCTGCTGGTTCATGCTTGACTTTATCTTCGTCCCTGAAGATGTACGCGATATGTTGCTTCGAAACTTTAGGCTGTCTCTGATCTACACGGCGTTAGAACCCAGTCGACTAGATCTTCACATAGTACAGTATAAGACAATATATTTTACACACATGTTATGAATTTAGAAAAGGACGTGAACTCCTATTTAATATGACGTTAAACAGAACACATTTTCGAAAGTGTTATTAAATTTAGGGAAAAGTGGGCCGAAAAATAAATGTCCCAGTCACGAGAAGTGTGGTGGTTTCGGGACCCTCTCTCTGTCTTTTGAAATTATCTTTGTTGCTGGGCAAGAAATGCTCAAGTCAAATATTGTTCTGAGTCACAGGCCAGAGTTATGAATATTGCTCTTGTCTTCCTCATTCGGGCGATTTTAAAGCTTGAGTACAGTCCTTGCATAATGAAAGTTACAAGTGCGGTGCCTAAGCCTTATATCAGAAATGACATTGATATAAAAGTCTTTAATCAACCTAGGTCTAATAAATGATTTATTATATAGGGCCTTGTTATCGGGGAATAAAAAAGTATTTTATTGCAAATTTTACATGCCTTTATACTCAACAGGAGCAGGGATAGCTCACTCTGTATTGAAAATAGATTACAGGCTGGCATTCGGGGAAGTGGGGTTCTATTCCTAGCAGAGGCAAAGAAAATTATTTTCCCCACAGGGTTCAGACTTGTTCTGGGCACAAAAAGCTTCCTATCCACTGTTTACCGGAGGTAAAACCGTCGGGGCGTGTAGCTAACATTCAGTTCCATCTAACGCCGAGGTTAAAAATGCGTAGAGCTGCACTCCCATTCCCCCCATACGTCTTTATGTCTTCATGCCTGTTTCAGCATATGGAAAATGTTACCTCTCTTTACTTTTAACAACAAAACTCATATCCTTTTTTTGTAGGTAACCAGGAAACATGGCAGCGTGTGAAAACTTTCTGTGACGTACCTCGTTATCACGACAACATTTCCGACATTTCGTCAACGATGGGCCGACCGTTATTAATTCTACGTCGGCAACAATTGATGACACTGGTTTTCCTTCTGTCGTTTACGACGCTGGCAACATGTGCTTCGGTCGACGCCACACGAGATGTTTCACAAGGCAAATACAAGTTCGAAAAGACTGACAATATCTTTAACAATAGCCATAACAATGTTACCAAAGACACTTCTTTGTACAGATATCCCACTCGAAGGCTCAACGGAACATCCTCCGAAAATACAGAACAGATACATAACTTATCTCTAGAAATTAATTCAAATTGGAATTCCAGTTTATCGAGTGGATTGACGCTTCTAAAGGTTGTTTCTTCAGTAAACCAAGACTGTTGGAATAAAAGTGACGCGCTGAAGTGCATTAGGGCCAAAATGATTGAACTTGCGGGAAGAATTCTATATTCAACAGATTCGTATGTCCGAAGCAGTGAAGTCCAAGACTATAACATTTCGGATATTGCAGAAGGGAAAGTTACATTGCTTCATGAAATTATTATGAAGCAATTAAGAAATCATATGTTGGCAGAGAATTTGGGAGAACTCGGGAATGAAGTGGAAGACACTGCTAGAGCTGCCCTGTCTTGGTTTACACCTGGTAAGTTCTCGTATGTTGGGTGCAAATAAATACCATGCAGAAAAACACAAAAGTCTGGCTGTAGATTAGTCCGGAAGTAAACACAAAGAAAGAGAAGTGTTAAGTCCGTGTCTTGGCGTCAGAGTGCTCGGCGAGATTATAATATAACAAATTCTAGGAAAAATTAATCGTATACTTTCGTTTTACATGAGACCGACCGCATAGAAAACACACAAAAGAAATAGGGGGCTACAAAGACAGACGCACGGATACACAGACAGAAAGGTGATATCATAAGCATCATTACGTTTCTTCAAAATAAACAAAGTAGTCTAAAAATCGTGAATATATAATTTGAAGCTTTGGGGGGGGGAAAT